CCCACCTGCGCCCACCCCTCCTTATGGGCACATACAGATGCCTGCACCCCCACCTAAGAGAGACCACACCAAAGTCCCAAAGAGCGCCAGGCCCTGTCCCGCAGTGAGAACCCGTCCCACGCTGCCCCCCTTCTCTCTGGCCTGTGCCACCTCACACATGCCACCAGGGCCCCATCTCCCTCTCACATGCACCCACCCAGATCCCACCGGGGCCCCTGCACACTCTCTCTGGTGGAAGGAGGGGTCCCCAGAAGGAGGCGCGGCTGGAGGAGGGACAGGGCTGGACCCCTCTTCCTCCCACGCAGCCCTGTCCGAGGCGGCCGAGGTGTACTTCAGTGCCATTCAGAAGATCGGGGAGCAGGCCCTGCAGAGCTCCACCTCGCAGATCCTGGGTAAGGGGCTCCCCTCTCTCTCTGCTCTGCACACGTTTTGGGGCCTTGGGGGCTCCTCCAGGCCCCTCTCCTCCCCAGGCCTCCTCCGCTGTCCAGGCTCCAGGCACTGCCTGCCTCCCAGTGCCTCCTCACAGCCCCGGGCCCTGCCTGCCCCTCATTCTCAGTCCGGAGGGGATTCCTTTTACGGACTTGCCTTTCCAGGAAGTCCCCCAAAGACACGGGTCCTGCAGCCCAGGCTCCTCCCACCCCTCCCTGCAGGGCCCAGAGCCCTATGGGAAGCCCGGGACTTTGTCCCGAAGCCCAACCTCAGGCAGGCCCTTCTGGAAGCCTCTGTTGGGAGGAGGGGATGGGGCGGGATCCCTCGCTGAGCCGCTGTTCTTGGGGCTCCTAGGTGAGATCTTGGTGCAGATGTCAGACACCCAGCGCCACTTGAACTCTGACCTGGAGGTGGTGGTGAGTATTGGGAGGGGTCACCCTCCACATCCCTCCTGAGGGAGGACTTGCTGAGACCCTAGTGACATGGCACCTGCCGGCCAGGCTCTGCCAGGCACATGGGTCCGCAGCGTCTTGTTCTGGCCTCCAGCCACCTGGGCAGCAGGGACCATTTCTGTCTCCACTTCACAGAGGAGGAACTGAGTCTCAGAGATGCAGCCACTCTCCCAAGGTTCCAGCGTCAGAGGAGGAGCCAGGAGAGACAGGGCCCGCCCTTCCCTCTCCGGGGAGCAGCCTGCAGTTTGACCTTGTCCTGCCCCTGAGAAAAACCCTCCACACCCTGCCACCCCCAGAACTGACCCAGGCTTCTCAGAGGACTTGCAGGCCCTGCTGGCACCCCCCCATTCACAGCCCAGCCACCCCGAAGTGCTGCACCCCCAGTCACAGCCCAGCCACCCCGAAGTGCTGCACCCCCAGTCACAGGCTAGCCTTCCCCCGCTGGGCTGCTACGATGCTGTCCTCTCACAGAAGCCCCCACCCCTGCCATCCAGCCCAGTGGCCCCCT